GCTACATGCAGGAGCTGCGGATGCTCCAGTCACATCGCCCGTGTCTGCCCCTCGCGGGGGGCTTGCCACCCGAACAGCATGCCACCACAGTGACCATGCGCTGCTGCACACTACAAGGCCGACGCGTCCACAGAAGAGCTGTACCTCCACTCAACGGAACAGTTACTGAAACTCCTGAGCCCTACCACAGCCCCTAAGATACAGGTCCAGCTACAGATAGAGGGGTCCCCTTGCAGCATGGAGTTAGACTCCGGTTCCACGGCCTCCATCATCTCAGTGGAGACGCTCAATAGACTGTCCAAATGCGGGGGCCCACCTGAGACCCTCCAACATAAACTTAGTGCACTTCCAAAGGAACCGAGTTCCGGTGCGGGGCGAGGGTCATTTTCGGGTCTGCTACCAGGAGTTTGATGGGCTCTTAGACTTGGTCGTGGTCAAGGGAAACTTGGTCAGCCTTTTGGGACGGGCTTGGTTCTGCCCCCTAGGGATAACCATAGAGGGGGTGAAGCAATGTGACCGAACAGACTTTAGCGAGGTCTGCACGGAGTTCCCATCCATTTTCGACGGATCGTCGGGGCGCTACACCGGTCTCCCTGCAGCTTGACCCCAAAATAGCGCCCATCCGCATGCGCGCCTGGTGGGTCCCCTTCGCTCTGAAAGCTAAAATGGACACCAAGCTGGACCGCCTGGTGACACAAGGGGTTCTAGAACCAGTCTCCCACGCGGCATGGGAAACCCCAATATTTGAAGCCCAACAGCGAGGTCCGCATCTGCGTGGATTACAAGTGCACCTTGAATAAGACCCTGCAGGATCATGCCTACCTTGTTCCAGTTGTGAGCCATGTACTAGCCACCTTGGCAGGAGCCAAGGTCTTCGGGAAGTTGGACCTCGCTCGGGCGTATCAGCAGCTGCCGGTAGACAAGGTCACAGCCGCGGCCCAAACCATAGTCACGCACCGGGGGGCATTTAAGGTGAAGAGGCTCCAGTTTGGGGTGAGTGTGGCACCGGGGAATTTTCAACATTGAATGGACTTTCTCTTGAAAGGGATCCCTGGGGTCACCCCATTCTCCGATGATGTGCTGATCGCTGCAGCGACCAGGGAGGACTTCGCGACCCGTCTCCACACCGTCCTCTGTCGTTTCCACGAGGCCGGTCTCAAGGTAAAGAGAGAGAAGTGCCTTCTGGGAGTCGACCAGGTGAATTTCTTGGGATTCACCATAGATGCGGATGGCCTCCACCCCGCACGAGACAAGATCAAGGCCATAGTAGAGGCCCCGTCACCTAAGTCCAAAGTGGAACTCCAGGCATTCCTCAGCCTCCTCAGCTTTTACCATGCTTTCCTCCCCCACAAGGCAGCGGTCGCAGAGCCCTTGCACAGGCTGTTTGACAAGAAAGCCCCTTGGGTCTGGGGCCCCCACCAAGCCACAGCGTTACGGGCTGTCAAGGCACTGTTAATCTCAAACTCGGTATTGGCTCACTTCAATGAGTCGCTGCCGGTGATCCTCGCATGCGACGCTTCTCCCTACAGCGTGGGCACGGTACTGGGGCACCTTCCTCCCGACGGCCGTGAAGTACCAGTGGCCTACTACTCCCGGACTTTGTTGACTGTGGAATGGAACTACGCCCAATTCGATCGTGAGGGCCTGGCGATCGTTGCTGGAGTAAAGACGTTACACGACATCTTATATGGCCGGCCCTTCACCATCGTGATGGACCACCGCCCTCTCCTCAGCCTCTTCGCATCTGACAAGCAGACTCCGCAAGTTCTATCTCTGTGGGTCCTCCGGTAGTCCATTTTCTTGGCAGGCTACAACTACCAGCTCCTGCACCGCCGCGGGAAAGCAATGGGGCACGCAGATACCCTCAGCCACCTGCCCTTGCCATCGGTTGAGCCAGACCCATCTCCAGCACACCACATCCTGCTCCTCGATGACCTGCTGGAACAGCCCCTACAGGCCACCGACATGGCCAGCCATTCATCCCGGGACCCAGTTCTCTCCCATGTCTTGGGCTGGGTTCGCTGGGGATGGCCCCTGGCCACAGAGGGCCCCGAGTTCACTGCTTTCACTGCCAGGAAGGCTGAGCTCTTGGCTTACAAGGGATGCTTGCTGTGGGGGAATAGAGTAGTTGTCCCCAGCGCCCTGCGCCAACGCATCGTCTGGGCGCTCCATGAGGCTCACCCGGGGATAGTCAGGATGAAGGCTCTGGCCCAGAGCTATGTGTGGTGGCCGGGAATTGACAGTGAGCTCGAAGCATGGGTGAAGGGGCATCAAGCATGCCAGGCAGTCCGCCCAAACCCTCCAAGCACCCCCACACAGCCTTGGGAGTCCACTGGCAGGCCGTGGTCCTGACTTCACCTCGATTTTGCCACCCCCTTCCACGGATTGCTCTTCATGGTCACGGTGGACTCCTACTCCAAATGGCTGGAGGTCATGCCCATCTTTATGATGTCCACAAAAGCAGCCATCCGTGCGCTGTGCCGGATCTTCGCAACCGATGGGCTGCCAGACACCATCGTCTCTGACAACGGAACGGCCTTCACGTCAGACGAGTTCCAGGTGTTCCTCCGGGGAAACCTCATCCGACGTGTGAGGTCAGCACCTTTCCACCCAGCCACAAACGGACAGGCTGAGCGCATGGCGAGGACCGCCAAAGAGGCACTCAGCGGAATCACAGAGGGTGACTGGGAGTTCCACCTGGCCCAGTTCCTGCTGTCGCAACACACCACTCCCAACCCAGTCAGTGGCTGCAGCCCGTCCGAGCTGCTTATGGGCCGAAGGCCGACTGTGCTGCTGGACAGGGTACACCCAGATAGGGCCCCCAAATCGTGGAGGCTGTCCGAACAGGTAAAAGCACCTAGAGGGTTCTTTCCGGAGGACCCCGTCTTCATAAGAAATTATGGGAAAGGACCCCTTTGGCTGGCAGGCCGGGTCATTCATCCCACGGGGCCGGTATCATACGAAGTCTCCACAGAGGACGGCCAGGTCCTGAGAAAACACGTGGACCAGCTGCGAAGGCGACAGATCCCATCGTCCCTGGAGGCAGAGCCATCCCCGGGCCCCGATGAACGGAGTCCAGTGGAACCGGACGTAGATGTCCCCGAGGCAAGAGCCAGCGATCCCTTCCAGCCTGCGTGTACAGAGCCTGGGGAAGCGTCTTTGGCCACCACTCTGGAGGTCGAGGTGGATTCCCGGCCCCGTCAGAACCAAAGGGACAACCCACCTCCAGAAGCACCAGGAACCCCAGTTCTGTTACCGAGGCGTTCCACTAGGGAGCGCCGGCCTCCGGCCTACTTAAAGGACTATGTGCCCTAGGCATGGTTGAACTACGGGGGGAGGGGTGTTGTGTCCGCAGTGAGCCACTAGGTGGCCAGCGCCTTAGAGCTTGGTCCTGAATAACAAAACGACCAAGGATCCTAGGAACACCAATAGGGTCCCCAGGTGGACATTCAAACCCACCAGTAGGAAGAGGAGCGCTGTTTAGGGATTGGTTATGGACCAAATAAATACAGGACATCGCAGGCTTGTTTTAGTGTTGTGTGTACGTGTGCTAATAAACAGAGCTGATAACTATGCTAAATGACTGAGCTTTCCTGCAACGAACCCACTACACAACACCCAGTAACTATGGAAACTGCAGATGGGGCCTCCCCCCTCCTCCCGCGTCTGGCCCACTTCCACCCACCAACCAGCCGGGCACCAGCGGGCAGCGTCTGTAACTGCTGGGAGTTTGCCTGTCAGCAGCAGGCACCTGACATGCCGAGTTATAAATGTCTCGTGAATCTAAGTTATGAATCAGCGTGGGAGCAATGTGGGAACGGAGGTGCCTTCGATTGGCTTATCTGGAATTTTAAAACGACGGCCTTTGACAAACTGGGTGGTCCGCCTGACTTAAGGAACACGAGCTCCTTTTCCGTGTTACATGTAAGGTGCAGTGATAGACAATTCTCCGTCTAAGCTGTGGAGTCCTGATTAAAAATTCTGCTTTGTTGAGCTCCTGGCACTAAAGTTGTGAGCGAGCGATTTGGCTGCTGCATAAATCAGTTTGCCTCTGGAGCCCTCCTTCCTGAGCTAAGACAAAAATGTGTGAGCCGGAGGCTAAAAAACTGTGAGCTGGCTCACACTAACTCAGCTTAGAGGGAACTCTTAGAGGCCAAGCGCTGAGGCTCTGGCTGCATCCACAAGGCGCTGGTTTCCTGTGTTGCTTTCATACAACCAAGAAAGCAAAATTTTGTACGGTGTCTCTTTGCCAGAGTAAGCAGATTGAAATGTAAAGGGTGCTGTCAGGGAAGAATGGGTACAGCCAAAGGGGACTGACCAAGTGGGAGGGGTTTGGTTAGAGGCAGGGGTCATTTCGTGGAAAAAGAGGTGCAGGAGCTCATTAGCGTAATTCATTAGCATATGCCACACACCCCTGACATTGCCGGAAGTGTGTCAGAAGGCAAAACCCACCGCTCAGGCTCCACTGGAGTGTTTTGGATTTCTAGCTATTGGGGGGGGCGCAGATCTGCCCTAGCAGAGGAGGGAGAGCTTGTACCTGAATAAACCTTGGCCTTAAGGGTGCCATTGGACTGTTTTGGATTGCTAGCTGGGGGGGAACGCGCAGATATGTGCAGGAAGGAAGGAAGAGAAGGAAAGAAAGAGGGAAAGGGGGAAAGAAAGAGAGAGGGAAGGAAATAAGGAGGGGAAGGGAAGGGAAGGGAAGGGAAGGGAAGGGAAGGGAAGGGAGGAAGGAAGGAAGGAAGGAAGGCTTCTCGTGGCTTGGGGCTGCTGGGAACAGGGGGTGGGGCTTGTTGCATGTGCCCACCCCCTGGGCTCTTTACTGCCGGAGCTCCCCTCCTGTGTGCTCCTGCAGGGAATGACCCCTGGTTAGAGGAGAAAGGGGCTTTACCAAAGGGGGAAGTGGGCCTCGGTATCCCCTCTCGCGCCCTGGGCCCTCCCAAACCGAGAACGGGCCCCGAGGGAGACGGGAGAAGCCGAGTTTTTGGCCGTTCACCTACAGCCTCCAAGTGCCATCGCCGCCACCAGCAGTGTCATCCCCAGAAGCAGCACTCCAGTCACCCCCAGGGCAGCGAGGAGAATCCAGGATGGATCTGGAAACAAAGGCAGGAGGGCAGCTGCGGTTACTGCAAGAGCAGCGGACACAAGTGTGAATATAGCTCCTTTCTTAAGGCAGGGTGGCGTAGGGTTGCCTGGTATCCGGCACTGACCCGGACATAATCACGGAATCACAGAGTTGGAAGGGACCTCTGGGGTCATCTAGTACAACCCCTTGCACAAGGCAGGAGATTCACAAATACCTCCCCCCCCTACACCCCCAGTGTCCCCTTACTCCATCCTCGGCGGGGGGGGGGGGGGGCCCAAGGTATTTTCACTGACTTGTCTGGAGGTAACTGTCAGCATACTATCAGGTATGAAGCAAGATGACAGCCTAAGAAAGTAAATGGTGGAGATCATTCTGATCTGGTTGACAGCAGAAGGAGTCATATGATCATGTCACCAGGTTAAGATTGCATCTCAGTTGCATCAGCTAAAATGATGTCACCATGAGTCAGCACTGATCACTGATTGGTGCTGAACATGTATATAAGTGTGTAAAGTACTTGTAGAGGTGTTCACTCTGTGAATGCCTTGCTGCGGAGCACTCTGCCGGATTGTACAGCGATTTGGAGTTGGAGAGTGCTATATGAACTGTGTATATATCTGTGTAAATAAATCCACTGCGAATAGTCAGCACTAGCAACCTGGTACGTGTGGTTACTAGACGCTTCAAACGCTAACAGTAACACACACACACCCCTAAATGTCCAGTGTCTTTCCAGTGTTTTCCCAAACAGTCATTGAAAATACTGGGCTGCCTGGATCAGCCGGCCACTGGTACGAAGCCTAAACAGCGAAACACCCGTTTGGAAGAGGCAGTGCCAAGTTGCTGCTGCTACTTGCTGGGGCTGGGTTCTCCCCTGCTGGGTGGAGGAGGCGGCGGAGCCTCGGTGTGTCCAGCATTTTAAAGAAAAGCATCTGCAGCCCTTTTCTCTGGCTCGTTTACTCCCCAGTCCTGCTCCCCGATTCTGTAAACTGTTCAAAAAGGTCTGGGTTTTTTTTTTAGTTAAAGTTGTCGGGCTCAGTTAAAACATTGGACGGGAAATAAGAAAGCATTGTCCATGAATCACCACCTCTTGAAGCCCAACCCTACATGCTAAGCCCAGGTTGTCGTTGGTCAAGCTTTAAGGCCCGGCCGTCAGGACTAGTGCTGGTGGGTGCCTGTGAGGAGGGGACACCCATCTCCCTGGCTCCTCTCCAGGGCTGGACACCAAAGCAGCCCAGTCACTGATACCCCGGGGCGGGGGTGGAGGTGGGAGGCACCTGCAGGCATTTGCCGTAGCCTCTCCAAACTTCAAGAAAGCCTCCACCTCTCCGCCTCTCTAGATGAACAGGGGCAATGGAAGCTTTTGTGGCTTCTGTGACTGGTGGCACAGGGGTCCCAACCTTTTTGAGCCTGTGGGCACCTTTGGGATTCTGTCAGGGGGTGGTGAGTCAAACCACAGGATGGCTGCTGCTGCAGGAGGTGGCACCGCCTCCCCCAACTCATTCTGCCCCCTCAAAAGAAAATCAGCCCCCTACCAGAATGCCGTGGTGCCCCAAGGCACCATGTTGGGGACCCCTGGTTTAAAGAGAGAGCTTAGCTGTGAACTGAGTGACGGCCTGTAATGATTCCTTGTTCTATGAGAGTGTGTGTGCCTTTAAATGCTTGGTTGGTGTGCATGGTTAGTAGACTAGAGTGATTGAGAGAGACAAATGTGCTGTGATTGGTGGATGACAGAGTGTTGGAGGGTTTTTTGAAGTGAATCTGTGTGGGTGTGTCAGTTATGAGAGACAGTTAGAAATCAGTTGGAATTGTTCAGTTAGAGAGTTAAGTCAGTGAGTGTTCAGTTAGTTCTGAGTGAGTTCTTGAAGAGTGCAGTATATATGTCCTTAGCCTGTGTGGCTGACTATAGGAAATAGTGCCTCCTGTTAATATTGGAACTGAGTGTCAAAACAAACAAAAAGTAAAGGAAAAAAAGACTGTGTGTGGGATACATTTGATAGACATATTTTCAAGTCCCTTTATCCAAGATACTTACAGAATAACCAACCTCATATTTTGTTCTTACTTCAATAAATCATCTTTTGTTCAAGTTTATCCCCAAATTTAGTTCTATCTTTCCTCAGGACCACATAGATTCCTGAAAAGCCCCGACTCTAGGTCACTTTACCAGCAAAAGAAACAGAGAGAAGGTTTGGAAATCCTTAAATTCCTGGTGGCAGCAGAATCTACCCCATTTACAAAAGCAAGGTAAAGGTAAAGGTAAAGGTTCCCTTGCTCGAAAGCCAGTCGAGTCCGACTCTAGGGTTGCGGTGCTCATCTCTGTTTCAAAGCCGAAGAGCCAGCGCTGGCCGAAGATGTTTTCCATGGTCATGTGGCCGGCATGACCAAAGACCAAGGCACACGGAATGCTGTTACCTTCCCACGGATGTGGTCCCTATTTATCTACTTGCAATTTCTTGCTTTCGAACTGCTAGGTTGGCAGGAGATTACAAAAGCAAAGAGCACATTTAAAGGGAAAACCAGTCCTCCCTAATAAGAGGACGCCACACGGCCTCTTCTGCCCGACCACTTCTCTCGGCTCCCCTCTGCCCTTGTGGCCACATCCCACAGACTTCTTCCCCAGACACCTGCAGGCTGCCCTCATTCTACATTCAAGCAGACTGGCTCACCTTGACAGTCGGACCCCGGAGGACTAGTTGGAGGGAGCGTGCTCAGGCCAAATCCTGAAACAGAAGAAAAGACGGTGAGGCAGTTTCCTCTTTCTGAGAAGTGTTTCTACTGTCCGGGCGGGGGGGGGGGGGGACGGACGGACGACCATTTCGGCAGTCTCCGAAAGCAAGCCTGAGATCAAAATGGGAGAGGGAAGACGTGCTTCTCTGGCTGCAGCGAGCAGCGTTATCAGCGACTGAGATTACATTTTTCACAGTTGTCGATAACACAACGGAGACGCCACCACATCTTGGCAAAAAGAAAAGTGAGCTTCGCAGTGGCTGCTCCCGCTCCCCGCCAATGTTCCCTCTAAGCTGTTGGAGTCTTGTGAGCAAAAATTCTACTTGGTGAGCTACTACTGGCATTGAAGTTGTGAGCCAGCCATTTGGGTACTGCAGCATAGATTAGTTTGCTCTGGAGCCCTCCTCCCTGAGCGGAGACAAGAATGTGTTAGCCGGAGGCTAAAAAACTGTGAGCTGGCTCGCACTACCTTGGCTTAGAGGGAACACTGCCTTGCCTCCCCCATGGTGCCACGGCCGGCAGTGGTGGTGCCTCCAGAGGCATCCTTGCTCCTGCTGCTGCTGCTTCCCCTGCTATCATAGAATCACAGAAGCGCTGGAAGGAACCTCCAGGGTCATCTATGAAACAGGCTGGTCCGAGGGCCTCACATGGGAGGAAAGGGGGGAAAGCTGAGCCCCACCCCACATTCACGGGAGCTGCCCGGGAGCTCCAGTCCCACAGCGCCTCCTTCCCACCCAACTGGGAAGCCACAGCTTCTAAGGGCTCTGCGTCACGCCCATAACTGTCGCCCGAGGGGAAAGGGCAGTTTTGGGAACTGAGAGGCCAAGGGGGAAAGGGCAGTTTTCTGCTTGGGAACCTGGGCAGCTGCTTTCTTACTGGCCACCTCGGCCACCTGCCCGGGTCTCCCGACCCTGGGCACCCTCCACGGGCTCCTGCCAGGCCCTGCAGCGGCTACCCAGGGCATGGGGCGGTGGTGCTGGTGTCTAAGAAGCTTCACCGAGTTGGTGGTGGGAGGTGGCGGTGGGCACGGAGGAGTGAGTGGCGGTATGAGGGGGACAAAAACAAAATAAAGGGGAGGTGCGGCGGCACGGAATGAAATTGACATTACATGTAAAGACAGAGAGACACGGGGATGGGAAAGCTTTGAAAACATTTCCCCATCTAATGCAGGGGGTGTCGAACTCATTTGTTATGAGGGCCGGATCTGACATAGATGAGACCTTGTCGGGCCAGGCCATGTGTTTCATAAAATGTAATGCCAGGTAGCAGAGATCAGTGTTCCCTCTAAGTGGTGGAGTCTTGTGAGCAAAAATTCTACTTTCTGAGCTACTGGCATTCAAGTTGTGAGCGGGCGATTCGGCTACTGCAGAAATTAGTTTGCTCTGGAGCCCTCCTTCCTGAGTGAAGACAAAAATGTGCGAGCCGGAGGCTAAAAAACTGTGAGCTGTCTCACACTAACTCAGCTTAGAGGGAACACTGGCGGAGATATAAACTTTATAAAGGACACAAATGGGTTTTTTAAACGTAAAATAAAAACATGCTTAAAACATTAGCACCCTTACGATATTTTGTTTATTTAACAGTGTCTGATAACTGACACCTCTTGCTCTGAATTACTGCTTCAAAATGTCTGTGTTGTTGCAATCCTGAGTATGCTGTTCAGGTGTGTACCTGTAAGCTGCAAACCTATGATGACACAGCAGCAGCGGAACTGGAAGAAGAAGCAGAAGACAGACAGGTCCACTGCGGGCCTGATAGAAGCCCTCCGGGGGCCTGATCCGGCCCCAGGGCCGCATGTTTGACACCCCGGCCTAGTGTTTTAGTGGACAAATTTTGGGGGAGGGGAACCATTTTGGCAGTCTCTGGAAGCCTAGCATTACAATGGGACCTCCTTGTTTAATTTTTTTCAAAAAACCATTGGATGCCACCAATGCTCCCTCTAAGCTATGGAGTCTTGTGAGCAAAAATTCTACTTTGTGAGTTACTGGCATTAAAGTTGTGAGACAATGATTTGGCTACTGCATCAATTAGTGTGCTCTGGAGCCATCCTTCCTGAGCTAAGCAAAAAGGTGTGAGCTGGAGACTAAAAAACTGTGAGCTAGCTCACACTGACTCAGCTTAGAGGGAACACTGACTGTGATATGAAGTATCTTGATCTTGGTCGCCACCGACGCATCCTTACACTTAAGAAACTTTTCTAGCTCCTTCATGGCTACCCTTCCCAATCTCAAAGTCCTTCTGATTTCTTGATTACAGTCTCCCTTTTGGTCGATGTCTTCTTGAGGTTCAAACCCATGGAGCAATCTCTAGATTGCTTGCACCACCCGCTCTTGGTTGGGCGACAAGGGGGTTGACCCCTCTGAAACTCTTCCACCATGCTGATTTTTGGAATATGTTGAATGCAGCCCCGGAGTGATCTGAAGGTCTGTGCTTTAGTTCAACTGCTACAGCTTGCTAAACCTGAGTGATCCCTGGAGACCATCTAAGTCACCACCGATGGACCACTTTAACGTTCTCTGAAGGAGAAAAGTGATAGTAGTGTAAAGTGCCGTCGAGTTGCAGCTGACGTACGGGGACCCCGTAGGGTTTTCAAAACAAGAGACTAGCAGTGGTGGTCTGCCATTGCCTGCCTCTGCATAGTGATTGTAGAATTCCTTGGAGGTCTCCCATCCAAATACTAACCAGAGCCAATCCTGTTAGGATCTGACAAGATTGGGCGAGCCTGGGCCATCCAGTTCAGGATGAAGGAGAATGACCAGGCTAGAAATATGACAACCATAAGGTACAGAACTATGGTTATGGATGACAAAGGTCCTTTCCACACTAGACCTTAAATCCTGGTTCAACCCTGTCCCCGAACTTACATTCTACACTTGCACGTGAGTTCACCCCTGTAATTATCTTGGGGTATTTTTTGTTTCCACATTACAATCAGGCTTGTATTACCATATGTAAGGAAGAAAGCACTACAGCTAGAAGTAGATCAATTGGTATTAAGTGTGCTTTAGTGAAAGATTTGTACCAGAAGAAGCTGATAGATATTGAGCATTGTCGTACAGAAGAAATGGTGGCTGACATTCTGACTAAGCCACTGACCAAAGAGAAATTTGAACGTCTACGTAAAATGTTGAATATGATTGGTACAAATGTTGAATTGAATAATGAATAATGTTTTTGTATGTGTATGTATGACTTACATGTTAGACCTTGAGAAGGGGTGTTGGAAATGTATGTGTTTACAAGGTCTGATGATTCAGTCATTATGGGGTTAACTTGTATTCCTAGCTTGCTATTGTTTAGACTGACCTGGAAGGGATACCTGGCACTGAGCCAATGGGGGATTAGCCCGGGAAAAGTAACTTCTACTTTGATGCAGATTGGTCATTTGTTTCAGGTGACTTCCTTTCTAGGGGTCAAGAAGAAGGAGAGAATTCTCCATACGTGTGTGCTTGTCTTGTCTGTAGGAAGCTTAGAAATGTAGCTCTTAGTGTTTTGTTAATTTGTAGCAATCCCATGTACCTTTTCCCTTAGAATAAAGTATTTTTAAAAGGCAAAGAAATCTCTTCTTTCCAATAGAGCAAGATCCATCAAATAGTCTGAGTATTAAACAATTATTGACTATTTACAACAAGAACCTGCTTAACCTTTCATTACAATGGCATATTGATACTTTAGTGCTTTAAAAAAACGAAACTACTTGTCTGGTGGGGAGAAGAGGGAGTTGTCGAACGATGCTGACAGTCCAGTCATCATAAGGTGGGCTGAAGGTTGGTGGTGTCGTGGGCCAGCTTGCCCAGCCTGAGTCCAGGGTGGCTGAAGACTCCCCAGGAGTCAAGGAGCCACATGCAGCCAGCTCTGAACCAGCTAAAGTTAGTGGATTTGAGACACAGCAACCTCAAGATTCATTGCCGGCAGCTGACCTTGACCCAACCAGGCACAGCTCTGAAGTAGCCGACGGAACACAGCTGCAGGAAAATAGCCCACCAGGCTCCCCTTCATTAATTGAGCAAGGGGAAAAGCTCCGACAAGACTTAAGGACACGCAGACAGAGTGCTCTCCTCTTGGCTCGGTGCCAGCCAGTGTTCCCTTTAAGCTGAGTTAGTGTGAGGAAGCTCACAGTGTTTTAGCCTCTGGCTCACACATTTTTGCCTTAGACTCAGGAAGGATGGCTCCAGAGCAAACTAATTTAGGCAGGAGCCAAATCACTCGCTCACAAATTTAATGCCAGGAGCTCACAAAATAGAATTTTTTGCTCACAAGACTCCACAGCTTAGAGGGAACATTGGTGCCAGCTGCATAATGATAGCAGTTCTGAGTAAGTGCAGGAGCACCTCCAAGCAGATGGCTGTGAATCAGGCTTGTTAAGGAATGCCTATATAAATCGGACCTGGAGAACTGCAGATTGTGGAAGCACCTTGGCCCAACCCTGTGGACTTCATGACCACAACGCCAGACTCTGCCTGCCTCCTGTGACCTTTGGGCTGAACTTTGACTCTGCTTTTCGGACCTGCCTGAATCTTGCTGGGTTCTTCAGGAAAGCAGAGTCACAAGACCTTGGACTCTGCTTTCCTGAAGAACCCATGAACTCTGCCTGCTGCTAAACTAGTATTTGACCTGTGGACTGGACTCCTGACTGTGATCTAGCTCCATTGCCTGGCTCTGCCTGGATTCCAGGACAGGTGAGACTGGGTGGGACAAAGAAAACTGACAGAAACGTTACACATGAGGGAAAAGGTGACTCAAAACTGGCTTCCAGAAAAAAAATAGGGGTGAAAGTGGCCTCAAAAGAACTGGGAAAAATAAAATGGAAAAGTGACAACAAAAATGTAGTGAAAACTAAAGGCACGAAATGATAAAGAAAGAAAGAAAAAACATGGGGGAATGGTGAAAATGTCTCTTCTGACTCGGGAGCTTTGATCTCTCCTGACCATTGAACCTGTGGTGAAATACGTAACCGTCCCTCGATGTAAAGGGGCCAGATAAATGTGCCTCTGAGGCCAACAATGGAACCCTAAATAGAGTTTCCTGGTTATAAGTCCCATTGAATAGACCAGAGTAGGATACTGAGTAGACCCTCTGTAAAGGTACAATCCTAGGAGCACTTTCCTGGAAGTAAGCCCCGCTGAGTAAAGGTAAAGGTTCCCTTGCTCAAAAGTCAGTCGAGTCCGACTCTAGGGTTGCGGTGCTCATCTCCACTTCAAAGCCGAAGAGCCAGCGCTGTCCGAAGACATTTCCGTGGTCATGTGGCCGGCATGACTAAACACCAAGGCGCACAGAACGCTGTTCCCTTCCCACCGAAGTGGTCTCTATTTATCTACTTGCAATTTCTTGCTTTCGAACTGCTAGGTTGGTAGGAGCTGGAGCTAGAGACGGGAGCTCACTCCGTCATGCGGCACACTCGGGTCACGAACTGCTGAGCTACCGACCTTCCACAGCCTGCAGTTCAGCGTCTTAACCACTTGAGCCACCGCAGCTCCTTAAGCCCCGCTGAACATGGGACTTAATTCTGAGTAGACCTGTCCATTGGGATGCCAGCCTCCAGGTGGGACCTGGGGATCCCCTGGAATGGCAGCTCATCTCCAGACTGCAGAGATCAGCTCCCCTGGAGGAAATGGATGCTTTGGAGGGCGGGCTCTGTGGCATTGCACCCCACACACTGAGGTCCCCGTCCTCCCCAGGCTCCACCCCCAAACCTCCAGAAGGTTCCCAGCCTGGAACTGGCAGTCCTAACCCCCACCGACATCTCCTGGGGGATCCGGGCAGCTCTACCTGTCCGGCAGTTCTCCCAGCAGGCCACGTTTGTCGTAGGTGGCCCTTCCCATAAAGAGCAGTGGTACCCTTTGCTGATCCCCTAAATAGGGATGCCAGCCTCCAGGGGAGACCTGGGGATCCCCCAGAATTACAGCCCATTTCCAAACTACAGTTCCCCTGGAGACAAAAATGGGTGATTTGGAGGGTGGAATTTATGGCACTGTGCTCCACTGAGGTGCTGGAGAAGACTCTTGAGAGTCCCTTGGACTGCAAGGAGATCAAATCAGTCAACCCTAAAAGAAATCAACCCTGACTGTTCCCTGGAAGGCCAGAGACTGAAGCTGAAGCTCGAATACTTTGGCCACCCAATGAGAAGGGGGCACTCACTGGAGGAGATGACCCTGATGCTGGGAAAGACTGAAGGTCAAAGAAGACGGGGATGGCAAAGGATGAGGTGGTCAGACAGTGTCACCGATGCAACGGACATGAAATTGAGCCATCTCCAGAGCACGACGGAAGACGGGAGGGCCTGGCGTGATGTGGTCCAGGGGGTCGCGAAGAGTCAGCCTCGACTGTGCGACTGAACAACAACAACAACACCCCACTGAGGCCCCCCGTCCTCCCCAGGCTCCGCCTCCAATCTCCACGAGTTTTCCCAACCTGGATCTGGCAACCCGACCTCCCCCCATTCCCACCTAGCACCACTACAGCTGATCTCCAGAGGACAGAGATCAGTTCCCCTGGAGAAGATGGCTGCTTTGGTGGGTGGACTTGATGACGTTAGACTCCACCGAGGTCTCTCGCCTCTCCAAACCCCACCACGCCCAGCCTCCCCTCCAAATCTCCAGGAATTCCCCAAGCCAGAGTTGGCAACCCCACCCCCCAAAAATATCTATTTATCCACCCGGAGAAGTCCTTACCCTCCACGATGATTTCCACAGGATCGCTGAGCGCCGAGGGCTGCAACCGGCTCCCGTTTTGTACGCCATACTGGCATCGGTATAGGCCTGTCCTGCTGGTGGTCACGTTCTCCAGAAGGAAAGCCGCCTGGTGCTGGGTCTCTGGAGCAGGAAGCACCTGCATGGGCCGAGTCTGGCCAACCATGAACAAATAGAAGTAGGCCCCAAGGTAGGCTCCAGGAGCCACACAAAATATCCTGATAGATTCCCCTTCAGTGAGGCGGTCAGAAGACGTCTCCAGGTAAAGACGGGGAAGGGGCAACTGGCCGGAAGCCACCCAAGAACCTGAAATAGCAGGAGACAAAGAGTGGGGTGTAAGAAATGAAGGTTCGTGAATGCTTGTTCTATCAATTAAAAAAAAAAAAAGGAATATGTCCGAACAAGTTTAGTTATTGCTGGTAGTCAGAGGCTGTTAGAACCCCTAGATCTGAGTCTAGTAGCACCTTAGAGACCAAGATTTTTTGGGGGATGGGCTCTCAAGAAGAGTCAAAGCTCCCTTCTGAAATAAGTATCCACACAGAGAAGGGGCTTTGGCTACTAGTATATATAGTAATGAACCTATGAAACTGCCTTACATTGGATCAGACTTTTGGTGCATCATAGTCAGTATTGTCTGCTCGGACTGGCAACAGCTCTGCAGGGTCTTTCATCTCACCTACTGCCAGATATTTCAACTGGAGATAACGGGAATTGAGCCAGGGACCAATGATCCCTCTGAGCTGTGGAGTCTTGTGAGCAAAAATTCTAATTTGTGAGCTCCAGGCATTAAAGTTGTGAGCGAGTGGTTTGGTTGCTCCGTAAATTAGTCTGCTCTGGAGCCCTCCTTCCTGAGCGAAGACAAAACTGTGTGAGCCGGAGGCTAAAAAACTGTGAGCTGGCTCACACTGACTCAGCTCAGAGGGAACACTGCCTGGGACCCTCTGCATGCCAAGCAGATGCTCTAACACTGAGCCGCAGCCCCTCCCTTTTAAACAACTTAAACCAGGGGTCCCCAACCTTTTTGAGCCTGTGGACACTAGGGTCCCTTACCTTGTTTAGCGGGAGGAAGTTGGAGTTTTCAAGCCAAATGCTAGAGCGTCCCCCTGGCGACATGCCCAGCGCAATGACATCACCTCCAAGTGATGTCATTGTGCCGAGCATGTCGGCTGGATTCCGGCACTCCGAGGGTCTGGGGCCCTTTGAGCGGGCAACCCCCTGCCCCCCCCCAGGGGACCTGGCAGCTCTAGCGGGCACCTTTGGAATTCTGGCACATAGGCACAACCGCAAAATGGCTGGCACAGGAGGCAGATCCAGCCACAAAATGGCTGCTGCAGCTTCCCTTCAGTGAAGATCCTTATGTCTACATGAGGGACCACCTTCCCCCGTACGTTCCCCCGAGGGCACTGAGATCCGAGTCGCAAAATTGCTTGGTCTCCCCCAGGCCCTAGGGACGCAAAGTTAACATCAACAAGAACTAGGGCGTTTTCACTTGCTGCACCGGTATTATGGAATCAGCTCCCAAATGAAATTCGAGCTCTGCGGGATCTTCAACGATTCCATAGAGCTGTAAAGACCGAGCTATTCCGGTAAGCGTTTCAATAGTCTGGCCACACTGACCATTCCACATAACTACTAGCACTTTATAACAGATGGCCGCCACATCTTAATCTTAAATTTAATAAGTTGTATTTTGATATTTTATCGATTGTATTGTTTTAGACTTGATATTCTATTGTATACTGGTTTTTAACTACTGTAAGCCGCCCTGAGCCGCTTCGGCGGGAGGGCGGGGTAAAAGTCTAACAAATAAATAAAAATTGTGGTGACAGCTGCTGCCAAAGCAGCATTTTTTTAAAAAAATCTGCAAACCAATCAAATGGCAGATGGCCAATCAGAAACCTTGCTTGGCAAAAGCCCCACCCAGTCCCGCACACTTTCTAAAGATACTTGTCAGGCACCAGGAAAGGAGTTGGTGGGCCCCACAGTGCCCACGGGCCCCCTGGTTTAAGCCATCAAGAAAATTTGGGACCGGATATAGTTTTCCTGTCTAACATAGCATGATAGTTGAGTATCCAACCTCAAAGGACAATGCCAGCCTGGAAGAAACCCTGAAGATCTACCAGAATAGAAAGTGCTGAAGGATTCTGTTATAACCTGCTGCTCAGTTGTTGTCTTTCTGCATTGAAATAAGGCATTGCCCTACCGGCTGGCGGGCTGACATATTTTCCTGTTTCCTCCAATATTCAATTAGGACAACATGTGCCCAAGCCCCTCACTGAAGGGAGAACAGCTGGAATACGATTTTCTTTGTGTTACTTACAATATTTTTTATGATGCCTTTCCACCCAGTTTGGGCCCTCAAAGCTTCAAACAGTTTTAAAATGTTAACAACCAACTTCGTTCATTACAAAGATAAATTAAAACACATAAAGGAGGAGGTGTCAAACTCCTGCAACAATCAGAATCAACGACTCGCTTCTTCAGAAGGAAAGTTTATTGATACAGTATTGGCAGGGCATCTCTACTTCAGGTTCTGTGTTAAGACTAAAGCTGAAAGCGCGGAGTGAACAGATATACATAGTTCAAAGGGGTGACTGAGCCAATCAAGGAGATAGAAGGGGCCCGCCAACATGTAACGGTCCTCCATTCCCAGGGATGGCGTTCCAGCTAGGTACCAAGGTCAGGCACATAAAACATATAGATAAGGGAACCTCACTGAGGCAGCTAGAGAACGGAAAGGAAAACATTCCAGGCAGCTCCTTCTCCCCATACCAGCCTCTATGGCAGCTGACAGGAGGGTTGAAAAGGGAATGCCAAAAGAAACAAACAGGTCTTCGCCCTCTGGAGGAAGGTAATGATAGAAGGAAATAGCTCCCCAGAGAAGGAATTCCACAACTTTGGTGCCACAACCCAGAAAGCCCTTTCTCAGGTTGCGACCCATTTTGCCTCAGATGACGAAGGCACTGGAAGCAAGACCACCAAAGACGACCACAGTGATGAGATACGTTCATATAGGAGTAAAAGGTAAAGGTTTCCCTTGCTCGAAAGCCAGTCGAATCTGACTCTAGGGTTGCGGTGCTCATCTCCGTTTCAAAGCCGAAGAGCCAGCGCTATCTGAAGATGTTTCCGTGGAAGGTTGAAAAGGGAATGCCAAAAGAAGCAAACAGGTCTTCGCCCTCCGGAGGAAGGTAATGATAGAAGGAAATAGCTCCCCAGAGAAGGAATTCCACAACTTTGGTGCCACAACCCAGAAAGCCCTTTCTCAGGTTGCGACCCATCTTGCCTCAGATGACAAAGGCACTGGAAGCAAGACCACCAAAGACGACCACAGTGATGAAATACGTTCATATAGGAGTAAAAGGTAAAGGTTTCCCTTGCTCGAAAGCCAGTCGAATCCGACTCTAGGGTTGCGGTGCTCATCTCCGTTTCAAAGCTGAAGAGCCAGCGCTATCTGAAGACGTTTCCGTGGTCATGTGGCCGGCATGACTAAACACCAAGGCGCACAGAACGCTGTTACAGGAGTATATAGGAGTAGGGAGTCCTTAAGGCATGCGGGTCCCAAGCTGTATCGGACTTTGAAGTTCAATACCAACACCCTTGAACTGGGCCCAGAAGCAAATTAGGAGCCAGTGTAGGTGGAACAAGACTGGGTTGATATTATGCCTATGACCTGCTATAGCCAAAATTCTTTATCGCTGTACCAATTGTAGTTTCTGGACACTCTTCAATGACAGCCCCACCTAGGTGGAGAAGGATGGCCATTTTGAATGGAACACATCCTTGTCCGGCTCTGGTCATTCCTTGTCTGAAGGTAACATTCAGGGTCCTAGCCTTTCCCCTCAAAGAGTCCCGTGGACAGTGTTCCCTCTAAGCTGAGTTAGTGTGCGCTAGCTCCCAGTTTTCTAGCCTCCGGCTCACTCGTTTTTGTCTTAGCTCAGGAAGGATGGCTCCGGAGCAAACGAATCGATGCAGCAGCCAAATCGCTCGCTCACAACTTTAACGCCGGTAGCTCACAAAGCAGAATTTTTGCTCACAAGATTCCACAGCTTAGAGGGAGCATTGCCCGCGGAGATGCTATTTGTCCCTTTAGAGCCAGCATATGGGCAGTCTGCATAGTGCCTGGATCTTTGCCCCCCCCCCCAGAGGGGGCGGATCTGGAAAACCAGCACGAGAGGAAAAGGTCTGAACTGGTTTTTCTGCCACGCCAAGATTCCAAACCGAATCAGGATCCCAGATTCCTGCTTTAAAAAAGAAACCCCACCAGTGTTTGAGAGCTCCTGACACAGGAGTCTGAGCTTCATGTTTTGGCCATAAATGAGTTCCCCTGGAAGAAACAGCATACCGGGTTGCCAGCTCTGGGCTGGGAAATTCCTGGAGATTTGGGCCTGAAGCCTTGGGAAGGGGGAGGGGAGGGGAGGGGAGAGACCATTGCAGGGTACAAAGCCAGAGAAAGCCACAGAGTCCACCCGCCAAAGCAGCCATTTTCTCCAGGGGAACTGATCTGTCAGCTGGAGACCAGCTGTAACAGTGGGAAATCACCAGGCCCCACCTGGAAGCTGGCAACCCAAATCCAGAAAGTAGAAAGAAACCTTACTTGCTAGGAGGAAGAGAATTTTCAGGCCAATATGTCCATGGAACATCTCGACCCTGGTGCATCGCGCCATCAGAAAAGCCGACTGGTCACTGGGACTCTTTTGCAAGACGTGAAGCGACCGAAAGAGGAAGGCATTTGCTACATCTGAAGTTTCACCATCTCAGAGGAAATTGCAGCCGGTCCCACGCTGGTTTTGCTGTTTGAGAAAGCTTCTAGGGCACTGACAGGGGAGACAGACATAGATTTTTGAAAGGGGCAAGAAGGAATAATGCCCTGAGCTGTATGGACCAGGCGAGCCCAATCCCATCAGGTCTCAGAGGCTAAACAGGGTGAGCCTTGGCCGGTGTTTGGATGGGAGACCCCTGAGGAAGTCCGGGGTCTCTACACAGTGGCAGAAAAACGGCAAACCACCTTCTCTTCTTCGTCTCTCGCCTTGAAAACCCTGCGGCGGTCACTTTAAGTCAGCCACAAGCTGACAGTCACTCTCCACCACAGTGGCAGCTGTCCCACCAAGAACTGGTCTACACATCTCCGCTGGTGATTTAGGACCGCTGACTGACAACTTACTGTGTCTTAACAATTTTAGCAAATGGTTTTTACCTGGAGAGAAAAAGAAAATTCCACAAAAGCAACAGGAAAAGCTCTACAGGCTAGTATGCTCCATTCAGCTTGATTTCTAGAGCTGGATATGGTCAGAGGTCATTTCGTAGAAAAAGAGGTGCAGGAGCTCATTAGCATAACTCATTAGCATACCTTATTTGCATATGCCACACCCCCTGACATCACCGGAAGTGTGTCAGAAGGCAACACCCACGGCTCAGGCTCTACTGGACTGTTTTGGATTGCTAGCTATGGGGTGTGTGGGGGGGGAACGTGCAGATCTGTCCTCGCAGAGGAGGGAGAGCTTGTACCGGAATAAAACTTGGTCTTAAAGGTGCCGCTGGACTGTTTTGGATTGCTAGCTATTGGGGGGGGGGACGTGCAGATCTCTGGCTGCTTCTTGCTCCTTGTGGCCCGACTGAGGGCTGCTGGGAGCAGGGGGCGGGGCTTGTTGCATGTGCCCACCCTCTGGGCTCCTTACTGCCGGAGCTCTGCTCCTGGGCGCTCCCGCGGGAAATGACCCCTGGATATGGTATTATTTAGCATCTCCCAGTGACTTCTGTGTTTTAAAGTGTTGCCAGACCCCCCTGGAGGAGGCGGGGTTCCCCCACTGCCGGGTTCTGTTGCCCTGCCGCCCCTCCACTGGCTGGTGGGGGAGACTTACCCGGAAAAAGAGTGAGGCTCAGTCGACGTTGCAGTGATATGTCTACAACATCACGTTGGTGATGTCAGGGTTGACACTCTGGGCAAAGACTCTATGGTAAAAGCCAATTTTACCATAGAGATTGTCCCCAAATACCAGAGTGTCGCCCCAACGTTGCTGCATGATGATGTCACTTCTGGGTCACACCAATAGTGACGCAGACACACAGTTGCCATGTTGGCTGGGCCTCCCTTCTGCTCCCAGTAAGTCCCCCCCATCCCCCAAGGGTTGCTTGGCCACCCCAGTGCTAAAGCGTTATCTGTCAGTCTACCAAAATGAAACTATGTATAGCAACGCAAAACACACACATAAAGAAGAACGAAGTTTGAGTCCAGCGGCACTTTTAAGACCAACAAGGTCTAGTTCTGAGCATAAGCTTTCATGCGCATGCACGCTTCATCAGCTACATAGATCGTGAAAGCTTATGCTCAAAAGCTCAGACCTCGAATAAAACTTCGTCGGTCTTAAAAGGTGCCTGACTGGACTCAAAGTTTGTTCTGTTCCTTCAGACCAACGTGGCTGTACCCACCTGGATCTATCGACATAAAGTAGTTCGCTGTTGCAGGACAAGCAAGCCTTGTTTAAGGGAGGGGTCCCCAACCCTTTTGAGCCTCCTGTGGGCACCTTTGATATGGTGACACAGGGTGGTGCTCAGACCAAGGCTCCCTCTAAACTGTGGAGTCTTGTGAGCAAAAATTCTGCTTTGTGAGCGACTGGCATTAAAGTTGTGAGCCAGCGATTGGGCTGCTGCATCAATTAGTTTGCTCTGGAGCCATCCTCCCTGAGCTACGGCAAAAGACATGTGAGCCGGAGGCCAAAAAACTGTGAGCTGACTCACACTAACTCAGCTTAGAGGGAACACTGGCACAAAATGGCTTCCAAGGGACGGACACACACACACACACACACACACACACATGCCGTGGGAACTGGCACCGGAGAAAAGCTGAGTGATTTTAAAATGTATCCTGGAAAACAAAAGTGAGAGAAAAATAAAACCCACAAAGTCGTGGCGGCTGCTTGCCATTTCTCCTTAGGGAACTTGTCTGGAGATCAGATGTAACCCTGGGGGGGGGGGGACTCCAGGCCCCATCCTGCGTTTGGTGGCTGAAACGTACTGAGACCAGAGACTCAGCATAGTGAATCAGCTCTTGTTTATTGGATTACATTAGGAACGAAACATGCTTGGGCCGGGCAATGCCCGGCTTATATGTGTGACCCACACCACACCCATCCCCCGTGATTGGTTCTATTTACAAGTCAACATCACACTAGGTTTACTTTCGGATCCGGGCGAACCCATTGGTGCGCCCTAGGATCCGAAGTGGCTATTGTCTTAAGACCGAAGGTCGGAAGGTTTGTCTGACCGTATGGCCGGGCTAGCGCCGCCACGGCCATCTTATTTCATCTTAATACACAACAGTGGCCCTGCTCTGGGTAGCAGCAGTCACGGGAGTAGTTTAGGGTTGCCACCTCTGGGAAATTCCTGGAGGTGTGGGTCGGGGAGGCAATTCTTGGTTGGGAGAGTCCCGGAGCTTTAGGGGTGAAGCTTGAGGAGGGCGGGCTGTAATGGAGCCCACCCACCCAAGCAGCCATTTCCTCCGTGGGAACTGATCTCCGTAGTCTGGAAATCACTTGTAATTCTAGGAAAACTTGTGGCCCTACCTGGAGGCTGACAGACCCTGAGCAAGAAGGAAGGGGGCAGGGAGAGGTGTCGCTATCCATGAGCAGAGGGTGGGCAGTTTCCCCCGTTTCCATGTGGAACTTGGACGAGTCCAGGCAAATGTGGCTTCAAACTTCCACTCAGCCATAAAGATCACTCAATCTATCCTAGGGTAGCTGGGTCCCCGTTGCTCCGGCGGGGGGATGGGGGGCATTCCAGTGGTGGGCGGGGACACCCCATGCCCCACCCCCAAGAACGACCACCTGCCCAGCCAATCCTCCCTCTGAGCTGTGAAGTCCTCTGAGCAAAAATTCGATTTGTGAGCTACCGTCCACCCAGCGGTTCGAAAGCTTCGGCAAGTAGATAAAATGGGTACCACTCCTTAGAGAGAGTGGGCTAGCCAATCGGAGGGTCTGCGCGTAAGCCGAGGAAGATCTACGCAGCGTTGAAGAAGAAGGCTGCAATAAACCATTCGGCCAGACGGTGGCAGTGGTGCGCTGCAACTGAGACAATGCTGACGACATCAAGCGACGCCGAAGGAGTGCTGCCGAAACACGACTGGACCTTGCAGCTGACCATATTTCGACGACTGTGAAAATGTGTGCGATTTAAATGATATATGTTGTCCTCCCTTACCCCCAGCATTGTTAGTTCCATGTGAATTTCACGAGTAACTGTAAATCGCTCAGAGCCGGCAGCTCTGCATGGCTTGAGCGATCAATAAATGGAAAGATTATTATTATTATTATTACCGGCATAAAAGTTGTGAGCAAGCGATTTGGCTGCTGCATAAATTAGTTTGCTCCGGAGTCCTCCTCCCTGAGCTAAGACAGAAATGTGTGAGCCGGAGGCTAAAAACTGAGCTAGCTCATACCGACTCAGCTTAGAGGGAACACTGTCAGCCACCCCTCTCCCTCCCCTCTGGCCAGATTTAAAGGGCTTCAGCTGATCCGCGGGGACCACGTGGCCCACTGACCAGCTGGAGGGCTCTTTAACTCTAGCAGGAGGGAGGGAGAGGGGCGGTTGCGAGCAGCATGCTTGGCTCACAAAAAGCCCCTTTAAAGGGCCTTTTTGTGAGCGGGGTGGCGGCTGTGGTGCACGGGGCTAGGGGAACATTGTTTAAAGGAGGCCCGCGACCGCCCCTCTCCCTCCCTCCTGCTAGATTTAAAGGGCCCTCCAGCTGGTTGGCGGTCCACGTAGTCCCCTCTGATCAGCTGAAGCCCTTCAAATTGGGCAGAAGGGGAGGGAAAGCAGTGGCCGGGTGGGTGGGTGGCTGGGCGGGTGGTTGCTCTTGGGCCTGGCATTGGAGGCGGGGATCTCCCACCGGCCAGCTGGCTGAGGGCAGATTGAAGCTCCCGGAAGTGGGGGAACCCCTGCCTGGACCCGGTGGCCGGCCGCCCTAGCGTATCCTACCTTATTTTGAGGACAACATGAGAGTAGCAAGAGAGAATGATGTATGTTGCCCTGAGCTCCTAGGAGGAAGGTTGTTCAGTCATACAGTCAAGTCTGACTCTTCGCGACCCCATGGACCATCTCCCGCCAGGCCCTCCTGTCTTCCGCAGTCCTCCGAAGTTGGTTCAATTTCATGTTCGTTGCATCGATGACACTGTCTAACCATCTCATCCTTTGCCGTCCCCGTCTTCTTTGACCTTCAATCTTTCCCAGCATCAGGGTCTTCTCCAGTGAGTGCTCCCTTCTCATTTGGTGGCCAAAGTATTTGAGCTTCAGTTTCATTATCTGGCCTTCCAGGGAACAGTCAGGGTTGATTTCTTTGAGGATTGACTGATTTGTTCTTCTTGCAGTCCAAGGGACTCTCAAGAGTCTCCTCCAGCACCATAGTTCAAAAGAATCTATTCTTCGGCGCTCGGCCTTCCTTATAGTCCAACTCTCACAGCCATACATGACTACTGGGAATACCATTGCTTTGACCATGCGGACTTTTGTTGGCAGGGTGATGTCTCTACTTTTTATCATGCTGTTTAGGTTCGCCATCACTTTCCTCCCAAGGAAATCTTTTAATTTCATGGCTGCTGTCACAGTCTGCGGTGATCTGGGATCCCAGGAACGTGAAGTCTGTCACTACTTCCA